TATATATATATATATATATATATATATATATATATTCCAATCCTAATTTTCTAGTTTTTTAGAATATTTTGGCATTTGTTAGATGAGAAGATGAGTGCGGGTGCGGTGGGCACGCGTTGGAGGCGGAAAGTCACATTTTGTCATGGGGCTCATTGCCCATCGGAATCATATCAGAGAATCTTCATAAGTATAGCATACATGTTTGATAAATATAGGAATGAAAATCATTGAATTTATTAGTATCCTAATGTTCAATAATGCCAAAAATGCAAGCAGCTTTTAAAAAATATATAGATATCTGAGAAAAAATGTTGGGTGCAAATTCCAGAAACTCAAAATTTCACGTAGATCATAAGTTCTATTGTCATAAAATTCCCCAAAGTATAATAAATATCCAGTAGACCGTTATGCCTTTGCTCAGAGAAACAAAGAAGAAGCTTCAAGTAAAGAAATCTTGAACAAATGAGAACTCAAGGGTGAAGGATGAACTATAAGCTTAGAGCGAACAAAGCGTTAGGTTTGAGTTTGCCTTAAGCAATTTTTATGTCGACAGCCGCACTATAAATGCATGAAAACAAAGGTCATGTCAAACAGAAAAGAACAAGTTAGATGATATAGGGTTCTTGTGAACACATGTGTGATACACATGGTTAACACGTAAACAAAATTTCTTGACATGTTGATGGCAGCATGACTCAATGGTGCGCCAAACCATTTATGCGGTTTTTTGGAGACCGCTCGTAGGGAACGATCCTATTCCCATCGTCAACTTGTTCTGTACCGTAAGCCATACAGGAGGTACGGTAGGCATACTGTAAGGCGTTAATCGCACATAAATGAGATTCTCCGGAGTACCATCTTTTATTAAGAATTCCTTTTTAGTTGCTATCCTAACAAAGATTCCGTTCAACAACAAGGACACATCCATCAGTACCCTGAATTTTATGTAAAAATTGGAAAGGACTAGGAAAATTCCACAAATTCAATTGCACCTTCGCTAGAGTAAAAAATTAGTACTT